CGGGCGCCGGCGCGGTACGATGAGGCAGCCAGCGGATCCGGGGTAAGCGCGACCCGGGCCGGGCGGGGGACGCCCGCAGAGCAGGCCCTGGTTGGGGGCGGTCCCACCCCGCAGGGTCTAGGGGACCGGCCAGGGCCGGCGGCCGTTGGCGGGGCGCGGGGGCCGGGCCCCAGGAGCCCCACCCCGCTGTCACGGCCTGGGGATTGACGGGGACGCGCCCCCTTGACGCCCCCGGGCGAACCTGTTGTTTGGGACGGTTGGGGTTGACCCCGGCCGGAGATGTCCGCCGGCCGGTTCCCCAGCCTGCTGGCCCCGGGCTTCAGGCTCAGCCCGGGGCAAGAAGGCACCATCCACACTCAAACTAAAGGAAAACAGCTTGTAATTTATGAATGGGGCCCGGGTACCCGCCGCCCCCTCGCCTACCTCGCGAAATGCATCGAAGTCAGGAACCGCAGTTACTTTTACGCGGATCTGTACGAGGTTTTCTGCGCCTCGGGTTGCATTTGGAAAACGCCGGTGGCCGTGTGGGTGGTTTGTGTGCCTTAGAAATGAGGCAGCGGCTTGCCGAAACCCGGGGAATCGGAAGGTTAACAAGTGACATTGGGGCTGAGGCCTAACGCCAGGTGCCCTGCCCGGGAGCGCGGGTGTGACGGTGGAGGCTGTAGCCGCTGGTGAACATAAAAATAAAAGGGTGGGACTGGGAGAAGGAATGGAACAGCTGACTGAAATTGCACCACACACTCTGCCCAGAACGCACGGATGACACGGTAGTTGGTGCAGGAGACTTTTCCCCGCTTTGAAAATGGTTTTTGGAAAACAGCCCTTCCGTGGGTTGATGGTCATTTAAACCGTCATTGTTACGGTTCCAGGGCATCAAATGTAATGGCAAAGTCTGTTTCCACCCACACCCTGTCTCTAAAGCCATGAAGTACTTTGTCACAATATTTTATAGACACTGCACAGGGAAGACGTACTTTTTTAGAGTTGAAGGAAAAGCTTGGCCTTCTTGAGGGCAGTGGTTGTGCCATATTCATGTTTGAAGTCCCAGCATCTTGACACCATCACTGCTTTGCCCGAGTATTGAGAACAGTGACCCTTTTGCTTTTGCGTGTGTTTTTTTTTTAAATTTTTTGTTGTTGTTGAAAATATGCACAGCAGAACATACACAACTTTTGCATGTTTTGATGATTTTCATCAAAGCATTTAAAGGAGTCATTTCAGGAGCCAGTTGTAAGCTGGAAGGGGAACAGTGAGTGACTTTTATATGGAAGTCAATAAGGAAAAATGGAGGAGCAAATGGTCCTTGACCCTCTCGGAGAGGGTGAGTTTGAGGAGTCTAGGCTTGTGGGTTTTAGAGTCTGAGAACACAGGTGCCAGCTTGTCTCATAGAAGGTATTGAAAGTGTGAAACAACTGTTTCTGTTAGCTCTTACCCAACCCTTTATTAATCTATCCAGTTCTTCCAGAAATTGGGAGTTGGCCTAAACTTATGGAAAACATGTAAGATTCCTGAGGTCATGGGGATTGAGCCGGATTTTACCCTGTAGTTTCTTTCTTGTCTCATGCACCCCTCAGGGTGTCAGTGAAGGCTTGGAGGGCACAGGAGAGAGGGCTGTGGCTGAACTGAACTTGCCTGCATGTCTGTCTCCAGGAAAAGACGCTCTGCCTGAGAGGAAAGAGACTAACAAACTGATTCAGATCTGAAGATGGTGGTAAT